AGGTGGGGGAGACTTAGCCCAGGGACTTGCAACCTTTAACCACTGACTTTCTGGGGAAGCCAATAAAGAAGCCTGCAAATGGTGATCATGTCATTGTGGAATGCTGCAACGGGTCATAGGTATGAAGCAGTTGCCAAACACTCAGATCATAACTTTGTGACTGCAGCAATACTGGGATTGCCAGAACCTCAAGGACCATTCATAACCACCATTGATTCAGCATTGTCATTGTTTCAAATATGTCAAGGACTACCTATACGTCATAAGTCTGAGAGCTTAACAGGAAGAATAGCACCAATGTTAAGGCTCTCAATATTCCCAACAGACAATTGAGGTATTTTTTTCTCTCTTCTGAAATCCAAAGATGATTCAGAAAAAAATGACCTCAAAAGAGATACAGAATGCTTCCAATGCCCCACTTATGCAGTGCTTAAAAGAAAATGACAGGACCAGTAGTTTATATGCACAGTGGACAGAGTAGAGTTTCTATAAAAAATCTTCAGCTTGAGAAAGTTATTGATGTAGGCTTTGTGTAAAACACAAAGATCATGACAAAGAGTTTAAGTTAATGTGCATTTTTATAGAATCATGGTTGGAAGGAACTTTGGCAGTCATCTGGTTCACTTTTTGCTCAAAACAGATTCAGCAATCCAGGATGCTGTAGTACTAGTAGCCCTTTCTCTCTGGCTTAAATATTTACCCCTTCTCTTGGGCACTTGATACCATAGTTCTTTTAATAGCTAAACTCCTCAGAGATAGTTTCCAAATGGAGCATTATCACCCTTTTTGTTTAAGCTGCCACCACCTATTTCAGTTATGGGGTCTCACCACCCGCAGATAAAAAGAAATTATCCTTATTTTCTACTATCATATTTGTAAGTAATTTGGACACATTTTTTAGTTATATCTTGCTGCTGCACAGTACTTAAGGACTGGCAATGAAGAAAATAATCAAAGATATAAAAGAATGATTTTACTAAACTGTGACCCTTCAAAACAAAACTACCTATCTGGACACCAGAGATTGGACAACCATTTGAGTGAAATGCTCTAGGGTTTCCTGCTTTAGCAAGAGGGTGGACTAGAGACCTCTAAGGTTCTTCCAACTCTGTTATTCTGGCCACTGATCATTCTCTACAATGATAATAAGGATTGTAAGGATCTGTGTTTAAAAAACTTTTCCTCAATATGAGTTCAATGTGCTACACTTTTTATCTCATTAATCATCAACTATTCTTCCCCCAACTAATTTCCAATGACTAGAAATTCACCATATTCACAATCTATCTTGTTTCAGCATCCCCATTCTTAATCCTTCCTGGTTAGAAAAAAGAAATGTAAGAAACCTAATTCTTCAAGGGAGTCAGCCACTATAGCAGTTACAATGTCTCTGACAGAAGCTATAACCTTGGAATTCAGTTCCATTGCCAATTAACTCATCATTAAGAATGTCCCAATGTCACCATAATTTCCATGGTTCTGGACTTATACTTCGAAACAATACAGAACAAATTTGTTCTATCCATAACAGGCTTTCTGGCAGTGGCAATAATTTTAACAACCGTTCTCTGCCCTAATGATTTCTTCCAATAACCAGTTCACTAAACTGCTCAGAAAGTTAACAACTGGTTCTCCTGAACTGGCTGAATCCCACCACTGCTTTCAGACAACACAATTATCATAGTGTTTTTTAATTTGCTCTTTTTCTTAGCATTGACTATTATAAAACTTAGTTTCTGTATCATTCATTATCCAGGCTGCTCTTTTCTGAACATGCTATTACAAGTTGTCCTCAACTTATGACCACAATTGAACCCAAAATTTCTGTTGTTAAGCGAGACAGTTGTTAAGTTAGTTTTGCCCCATTTTACGACCTCTCTTGCCACAGTTGTTAAGTGAATCACTGCAGTTGTTAAGTTAGTAACATTGTGGTTTAGTGAATCTGCCTTTGCAACTGACTTTGCTGGTCAGGTGGTCACAAAAGATGATCACATGACCCCAGAATACTGCAACTGTCCTAAATATAATTCAGTTGCAAAATATCTGAATTTTGATCACATGACATAAGGATGGTGCAATGGTCATAAGTCTGAAAAGCGGTCATAAGTCACTTTTTCAGTGCCATTGTAACATTGAACAATCACTAAATGAATTGTTGTAAGTCAAGGACTACATGTATGTGCAAATATTCTTAAAATGCAGCACCTAAAGTTCAATTTAACATTCCTCATATAGCCTAACACAGAATAATGGATTATTACTTCCTGTAAGCTAAATAGTATTTTTCTGCTAATGCAGTCTGAAAATTATACAAATTTTCAAAAGAGCTGTATTATTCACTGAGGACACAGAATCTTTTTCACATGTTCTGCTTCCAAGGTAGATGCTTCTCATCCTATATCTGCACTTTCAATTTTTGTATGTAAATAAACATTTTCACATTTATTTGTTTTGAAGTTTATCATTTAATTTCAACCATCAACTTTTTGTAAATCTTGATGCATCACTAAAAGTGTATGCAACTGCAGAGATCAGTTTCCACAGAATGTATGTATTTATTTAAATTTATATTTTGCCCGATCAAGCGATTCTAGGCAACTCACAAAATAAAAACAATATCAAACATTAAAGTGATAAATATTAACATTAAAAACAACAAAGATAGCTAAGGAAAGAAGTAATATGGGATGCATGTAGAATCTTTTCTAATCCACTAACCACCTGCAGTATAGAATACCTCCATCAGGACTCCAGACCAATCGGCATAGCCAAGTTTTAAGGCCCTTCTGGAAGGCCATGATTTGGGGTGGGGGGAATCTCAGCTCTAGGGGCACAATGTTTCAGAGGGTGGGAGCGATGGCGGAAAAGGCTCTCCTCGTGGACCCTGCTAGCAAAAATTCCTTGATCAACAGGATCCGCAGCATGCCCCTTCTGTCAGCGAAGGTGTAGCAGGCCAACTCCACTGGGGTGAAATAGTTCCTCACATAAATTGTATGAGTATGCTTGGAATAAAACTAGACCTCGATGCCCTTATGTCATACTGGCCAACTGCTTCAGACCTTCCCACTAGCAGAAAATGCTGCATGAATGGCAGGTAACCAAGCCTACAAATTCTTTAACTTACTAAAAAACATTACGTGAAAATATCATAATGGGAAGTCAATATCTATGGACCCACACAGTGAAGATCATGGCATATGAAAATTGCAATCTGAAATAAAAAAGGAATATATGGTGTATTAACTAATGAATGAACTGCAAAATAAGTTTGAATGAAGTAGTTTCATTCTGTAGAATAAAATTCATAAATATGTTCAGGGAAGTAAAGGGTAGGTTTTAATTATGAATGAAAACATTAGAATATCAAAAAGTATGAATTTTATTGTGAGTTCATATGAAAGTAGAAATCGATAGGTGGTAATAGTTGCATTAGCTTACACTTCATTGAATGGTGATAATGGAAGAATCAGGAATGAGTTCTGTGAAAAGTTGCAACATTCTAAATCAGGGGTTCAAACTCGCAGTGTCACGTGACATATCACGACTTTTTTTCTCCTTCACTAATCCAGGCGTGGCCAGTGCGTGATGAATCCAGCCCACAGACTGCGAGTTTAACATCCCTGTTCTAAATGCATGAGAATGACATGTGAAATACAGAAAAAGTTACTGGACCATTTGGAAACCCAAGAATGAATAAAAAGTTATTATTTGGTTACCTGCTTAAGAGAAGTGTCTATTTCAAATACATGGATTAAGCATAAATGAATCCATGTATGGAAAATCAATTGGAAAGTGTGGCTGTCTGTATTTTTAAACTGAAAGACTGAACAAATTAGTCAAATGCTATGAAGTGCTATGATGTTCTTGATATGGGACAGGTCATAACTTGGCAATGTCCCACGTTCCAAGTATTTTTAGATCTTGGGAAAAATGATATGCAAGAAAAGGAAAAATGTGAAAGGAACTAGAGTGACTGTTGGAAGAGCAGAATGGCTGTTGGAAGAGAAATGATACCTCCCATATGCAGAATATAGATTAATTTTCCAACAGAATGAAGAGAAAGCAGAAATAAAGAAATATGATGTAGAAATTGTTTGGAACATAATGAAAGGATGTGGAGTTATGTTAGTAGGAAATATGGATGCTTAATGGAATAATGAGTAGAAACTGTAAACTGAGGTAAAAGACAAAAACTGTTGAAAATGGTAAAAGAAATGTGAAGTTGCAAAGAATGTGGTCAATTTAATTAGATTTAATTAGAATTAAAAATATTTTGGAAGAGAAGGAAAAAACCTAAAGGAGCCTCAAGCAAAATGAATGGAATTTAAAATAAATATGATGGGATGATTTAGGATGAAATTAAGCTAATGGAATGCTGGGAGGAATATTTTAGAGAACTGTATGGGAACAATAATTGTATGGCAAAATAGAGAGTTGAAACAAGTCCCAGAAATGTTCATGTCCATGAAAATTATTTAAAATTTTCAAGGAAATTATAAATTCTGAGAGAAAGTTGCAAAATCACAAGACTGAAGATGTAGACAATTAAACTGAAGAAATGTGATGGCTTACTGGTAATCACTATAAAGGTCTTCCCCATAGAACTAAATACCCAGAGTAGTTCCTTTTACATTCCTGTGGATGGATGTTCCCCCTGACACCTACCCAATTTCTTTCCATATCCCTGTCTTTATTAGCAGAGTGTAAATTCTTTGAATAGAAACAGCATCCCTTTTGTGTTGAATCAACACATCACAGAAAAAATGAACAATAAAAAAGCTAGAAAAACCCTACTCTACCTGAAAAATGCTGTATCTACCCCAGTTCTGCAACACTTGAACTTGGATCAGCTCCATTTTAGCTCTTTCTGTAGCATGTTCTTATCTTTCCTTTACTGTTACAGAAACCAAACATCAAGCAATTATGGAAAAAATCCTCTCCAAGCACTACACTTGCTTTGCCAACACATACAACAGAATGCAATAGAAATAAAAATCACATTCACCATGGTTTTCTCCGATTCCTGGCCCGCTCTGATTTTTTTCCAGAACTGCTGCTGGAGATCCACCTACTGGGGGGGAAAAAGCAAGATTAGGTAAGATAATGGATGAGCGAAATGTAACCAGAAGCAAAACCAAATCTTCCTTAAAAGATATTTTACAGCACCATTATTTAAAGTATTAAATTATAAGAATATATTACAGCCTATTATGCAAAACTGTAGCCAGAATGAAACTATGAAATTCTCCTAAACAGCAGGAGAAAGTAAATGGTTAAACTCCTCCCTCTCTGAAGCTACAAAGGTGAAAGAACAAAGTACATGAATCTACCACTGTTCCTAAAGCATGTTTCAACAACTGGCTGTAATAAGAAAATAGTGTCTATGTGTGGGGGGGATTAGTTACTAAGCAGAAAAACTAGCAAAACAAAGATTTGGCTTCTGGTTTACTCTCCTGCATTAAATCAATTATTTACAGTTAAATATGAAAATGTGCACTTGTGGTATCTGTGGGAATCAAATTGGGGTGCATATATGTTTATATTTTACAATGTTTGTATATTTCCTCAATTGCAAGACTCTGGAGAGGACATATGTACTATTACATGCAGGTCTGAGCAGAGTGGATATTTTTGTGCTGCCCCAGTATACAATGTGTGTGTTTTCACTCTCGAATTGTCCCAAGTTTTCTGCATGGCTGTATTGGCAAGCACAGAGCATACACTCCTTTCTGGTCACGTGACTAGGAGGGAGGGGGGAGGAGCTTAGAATAGAATATTTTGCAGCATATCAAGCTATCTAATTGCCTCTCCCATGGGATACATTCCAGATGTATTTTTCTACAGTGCTTCTTTCCTCAGTCTATCAATGAATCTGGTCCATTTTCCAACTTGATCATTCAAGCTGACTTTTCCTGCTATACTGAATTTAGTCTTGTGTTCTTTTTTATTAAGTTATGCTGACCTTCTGCTGGGTTGCAAACAAGAAGGTATGGGAAACAAGTCACTTCTGGAACTGTTTCCAATCTTTTTACTGGCAGGGCTCATGGGAGGGATATCTATTTCTTCTTTACAATGAACTACTGTACTGTGCTTCTGCTTTCCCCTCATGTTGTGATTATGTGTACAGTGTTACAAGTTGCATATGTTTTTTTCTAGGTCCCAAAAAGGGAACTTAGAATGGAATATACATAGTCAACTTACAGCACTGAAACAAATGATTTATCATTGTTTTTCAAACTTACCACTGTTGCAGCATCCCCATGATTACATGATCAAAATGCAGATGGTTGCCAACTTACTTATATTTATGTCAGTAGCAGTATCCCAGGGTCATGTGATCACCTTTTGCAACTGTCTCATAAGCAAAGTCAATGGGGAAGCCAGATTTACTTAACAATTGTGTTACTAATGTAACAACTCCAGTGATTCATTTAACAACGGAGGCAAGGAAGCTTATAAAACAAGGCAAAATTTGCTTAACCAGTGTCTTAGCAACAGAAATTTTGGGCTCAATTGTGGTTGTAAGTCAAGGACTACCTGCATTCGAAGTTGATATCCAACTGCCTATCCCCAGAGGGGTATATTTGGGCAATTTTTTCAGGCTTATTTTTTCTTCGCAACCCCTGCACTGCTCTGGCTCAACTTGTACTTCAAATATTCTTTTATCAGCTACACCTTCTTCACCAAATTTAGTCCCATTTTGCTAAATTGGAAAGAATAACTTTGGGTTGAAATAAATATTTAATTGAAATTTCTATTAAATCAAATTGGCTGTATAGATTCTCCATTGTTTTCATTTATATCTCTATCAATAACTGAAGAACAAACAGTGAGGAAGAACATCTAGTTGAGAACTAGATGGTGTAGAAGAACATGAAGATAACCTTGACAAAGAAATGCAAAAACCATTAAGAAAAAGTAAAAAAAAAAAATCAGTCCTGGGAAAGGAGAAGAAAAAAAAATCCACATTGTCTTGTATAAGAGGGGCTGAGGGACCAGATTCTGTTGTTATAGCCTAAAACAATAAAGGAATATTCCAGAAACTCTTCTTCAGTCTTGTTTCTTAACCTTCCCTTCCTTGAAGAGTTCACAACTGTTAACAGAAATTGCAATAGATGGAAATCTGATTTGGTTCGGGAGTGGTTCTGTGTGAGGAAACGGGAAAACAAAGGCATATTTCTTTGTTCTGGATTTTGCTGAGCAAACCTATGACATGTATGTCAAAGGTGTATGCCATGATGTTTTGGGTGACACACAAGTGTACACCAACACCTAACAACTATTCTTGAAAAGACTAGTTCTCATGTGATTTTCAGTTGTTGTAGAGGGCATACAAGAGAATGGAATGTGCTCTTGCTTGGTCTCCAGAAATCACATGAGAGGGCTGTCTTCTTTATAGACTCCAGAATCTCCAAAAATCATGCAAGAATGAAGCTGCAAGTTTTTGGAGGCTTCAGAAGCTGAAGAAAAGCATTCTCCTAAACCATTGCAAGAACAAACTCCTTGTGCGACCTGGAAGAACTTCCAGTAGGCTGAAGGGGCCTGTCAACAGTGCCAGAAGATAAGTGGAGTGCAGATCCTAGGGAGCACTGGGTCATGGAGGACAACTGTGCCTTGAATGACACGGAGTAGTCTTTTTAAGTGGCAGCGGTGATACGAGGGCTGAAGTCAAGGCCTGGACCTCTACTTCAGACTCAGCCCAGGGTACCATTCAGAGTTCTCACTTGAGGCACAAATGAGAGACTTAAACTACAAGCAGTCTGAACTTTGTTCAGAAACCATTCAAACTTATGACAGTACTAAACAAATGGTAGTTATGACTGATCCATAACGTTACGGCTATTGGAGCACCTTGCAGTCATATGATCAAAATTCTACTCTTTTGGCCACCCTGTACTCCATCTATCTACTCCTGCCACCCACCTCCCTCTGGCTGACATTTGCTGCCTTCTTCTTCCTCCTGGCCCAGGATCCAGGGACTGGGTGAAGATGTGAATTGGCCATGGCTAGTTTAAAAAAAAGAAGAACTAGAAGTGACATGATAGCAGTGTTCCAATATTTTAAGGTCTTCACAAAGAGGAGGGAGTCAAGCTATTCTCCAAAGCCCCTGAAGGCAAGACAAGAAGCAATGGATTGAAACTAATCAAGGAGAGAAGAAACCTAGAACTAAGGAGAAATTTCCTGACACTTAGACCAAGGTGAGTGTGGCAGAGCAATGGTGCCTTGTCTGCCGAAGGGACATTGTTAGGTTTAGATGGTGAGGAAGCAGTGGGATGGAGTTGGTGGAGCAGGTAGGGCAACACTGAACAAGGTCTTCTGAAACCACCTCTTTTGTCAGGGAAGCCACTGCCTACATCTCCCCTGTCTCTTCCACTAGCTCTGTCCCACTGCCTATTTCCCATCTGGGCCCAGTGAGCTCCCTTCAGGAGATGAGGCTCTGCCATCCTGCCATGCATATCCTGGATCTGCACCCTGGGTCAGAGCCTGGATCCTGGGCCAGCATCAAGAAGAACGAGATGCCAAAGTTCAGCCAAAGGCAGCAGGGATAGTAGCGGTGAAATGGAGGGCATCCAAAAGCGCAAAAGATGGGAAGGGGAGATAGACAAGTGAAGGGAACTGAAGCAGAAGCAGCTGTGGCAAGGCAATGATACTGAAATAGTATCAGGTGGTATGAATAAGGAGAAAAGTACCAAAAGTAACACTATTCCTATCCCTGCACATCTTCCAACAAATTATAACACTCACACCAGCTTTCCCTGTAAGAATGATTGGCAAATGAGAACTAAGGCAATTAGATATATTAAGTTATCTGGGGTTTTATTTTGATAACATATATCTTAAATAAAACAAAATAGCTGTAACTATATTCCTTCTTAGTATTCCTTAGTGAACTAAGTAAGTCTTACTTGTGGAACAATCATATAATATCTATTCAGAATTAAATCCCTTTTAATTCAATGGGAGTTATTACCCGCTAAGTGGGTTTAGGGCTACAATCTGGAATCCTCTGAGCAGAAAACTGGCTTATGCTTATTTAAAAATGTAGTTATCCTATAGTTCTACTTTGACCAAAATTTAAGCACTTAGTAATTGGACTGTTCATTCAATAAATTGGATTACTCCAGAAGTAGCCGACATGTGTCAGTGAACACGCTAGATCTGGCACTTGGCTGCGCTAGCAGGTAAAGCTAAGCTATATGCAAACACTGATTAATCATTCATTGAACTGCAATCTTATATCTACTTCCCTGAAAGCTAAGACATAGAACTCTAAATTTTGTGCTTTAAGATATTGTCAGCCTTAACATAAAATGTAATGAATTATGGGTAAAGGCTTAAGGACAACTGCTAATATATTATTGTAGATATAACTGAAATGTATCTCTATTTCTATATTGATATGAAATAAAATATAAAAAGTTCCGATTTTATCAAAATGGAGTAGGGAAAAAGTGTCATTTACTGAATTTTTTCTTTCTATATAATTACTGCTGGTAAAAGTTTTTCTCCCCTTGAAGCACTGGTCATCTTATGCATTGGTCTTCTGTTGCTCCCCAGCGAATGCACTTTTGCCAAGAAACCAGAATTTATTAAGAAATCTAACACTATAAAGACAGGGTTGACCTAATTTCTGAAAATAGCTACTATTCTTTCAAAGTTAAAGCAATTCTCTTAGGTTCATGTCTCCATTCTTTCGTAACTATCATCAGGTACAATTTTCAAAGCTAAACTCTTTCAATATAGGGTTTTTTTTCATTTTTGGGAACTTACACCTCCTTTTCCAATGCACTCTACTCACAAACTGTGATGTATCAAAAGTCAGAATCCTACTTCCCTAAGAGATCAGTCAAATAATTTTAGGAACTAATGCATGAAAACAATGGCAACTTTCACATAGCAGACCCGCCTCCAATTATAGTTTCACATAGCCATTAGAGCTACGGTAGTAGTAGATGGACTTTTCCTTCTTAAATCTGTCCAAGCAGCCAACCTATGACATTCAATACCAAAAACAATGTACAGATTATATAGAACATTATAAACACCAGGCTAGCCCAACTATCCAAAGGGCATCTGAAGAGAATTCTCCATTTTTCATACTGTCCACAGACCTTGCTTTCTCCTGAAGCAGCAGTACTCTCTATGGTCCGTTCAGAAGTAATCAAAATAAGCTAGTCTCTATCTTCATAAATGTTTTGTCTAGGTGTACTCACAGGTAATTTTCCTCTGTGCTCCCAGAAAGATTTGAAGGTTTGAAGACAAAACTCTATATATCACATAGAAAGAAGTGTTGTCCCAGCCCTATCTTACCTCGTTTCTTTGTAAGGAGGAGGAGGAGGAGGAGGAGAGGAGGAGGAAGAGGCAGAAGAGGCAGATGGTCCTAATCTTCTCTTTTACAAAGAGGGTCCTTTTATCACTGACATGAGAACTGGGAATAATTCTTCACTGCTTCAATATTAGCACAGGAGAACTGGATTACAACAGCAGGGGACAGGGTCTGGAGTTATAGTCTTCCTTTTCAGGAAAGGCTTCACAGAATCTTTCCATATCATCTAGAATGAGTAGGAAGCATTAAAAATTAAACATTTTTAATTTGAGCTAATTTGAGTTCAAAACACTCTAACTGGATTTAGAACAATTTTCATGTCCAATCCAAGAATGCCCTGCGCTTCAATATGAAAATATCTATTATGAACTTGAAGCTGTTTCAAACCCACATCCCTTCAGAGATAATCCATTGCAACTAAAACAAACATGTCCTTGGGCTAAAGGAGGTTTATAAACTCAGAAAACTTCAAATTCAAACTATCTTGAAAATCCTTAATTTGGACGGCTAGGATTTTGCATGGGATTTTCTGCCTGCTCTATGGTGCAAAATTCTCAAGATGCAACACTGCAGTTGTGTGAAAAACGGAAAGTCAAATAAATTAGGCAAAGGAAATCAACAGTGCTTCATTTTTTACAAACTGAAGCATGAACACAAACCAAACTTCTAGATCACAATTTTCGTTCACACAACTTTGATCTCAAGAAAACTGAGCAAATAGTTTCTAATGCGTCATAGCATTTATCTTCATTAACGAAGATTAATTATGCTTCCCCAGCAAATAAACATAGGTGGTAAAACTAGCTAAACTTGTAAATTTATGGAATGTTTACAAGATTGCTCTGTAAAGATATTTATCATACACACAATCCGTTAATACTATAAACAATTGTTTCCCTGGAAAATTTTATTAGCTGTATTGCAGGTTTCTAACAAATTTGGTTTAATTTTTTTAATATTTTAATTATAAGCTACTTTGAGCAGTTAATGTGAACTAGACAAATGTAAATATTGAAATAAAACAAAACATAGAAAAGATTATTTTGGAGGTGAAAAGGATTTAAAAGAACTATAAGAAATTATTACCATAAGCACACAAATTCCAGTGGAAATTTAAAAACTAACAGATACATTACAAGACTTATTTGATAGCCACTCCAAAAAATAAATGTTATGTCGCTAGTGATTGGAAACTGCATTAAATTTATGAATATTCATAAAAAGATTTCCCATGTGAGCATTAAAACTGATATTTTCTCTACAAAGCATAAAATAAAAATGATTTTAGAATTTTTTAAAATTTGATAATGTATGACAGTGGTTCCCAAACTTGGCAACTTTAAGACTTGTGGACTTCAACTCCCAGAATTCTCCAGCCAGCTCTGGCTGGAGAATTCTGGGAGTTGAAGTCCACAAGTCTTAAAGTTGCCAAGTTTGGGAACCATTGATGTATGAGAATCTCTATAACAAAAAGATATTGATGGAACCATAGCAGTGCAGTGGTTAGAATGCACTATTGCAGGCTGACTCTGCCAACAACCAAGTAATTCAATCTTGGCTGGCTGAAAGGTGACTTAGCCTTCCATTCTTCTGAGGTTGATAAAATGAGGACCCAGATTGCTAGGAGCAATATGCTGACATTTGTAAACTGCTCAACAAGTGATATAGAGCACTATAGAGCAGTATATAAGTCTAAGTGCTATTGCTATCTTAAAAGATATCTTTTAGTTTCATATCTCCTGCCGTGATTGAAAGAGTAACAAGGAACACTTGCCTAAATAGGACTGATTAAACAAATAAATGAAAACTACTTGTCTACAACAAATATATCCTCAATTTGGTAATACTAATCAAAATAATAAAAATGATAAACCATAAAACTTCCAGGGAAAAATTGCAAGCTGAAAACAGTGGACCACAACACAATGATCTCCATTGGTTTTAAAGCTGTTTAGAGCTACCTTTACTCAAATAATGGTTTGTGCCAGGGGTGGGTGCTGGATGCTTTTACTTCGTTTGCTCAGGGACACATGCGCAGAAGCAAAAAAACAAGATGGTGCCGCCTGTTTGGGCGCGTCCACGGCCAAATTACTTCCTATTCGGCTGAACCGGGCCAAACTGGGAGGAACCCACCTTTGGTTTGTGCCTTTAAAAGGACTCTTAGGTTCACACATACTTTTCTAATCACTTTTGGAAACTGCACGTTAACTGCTTTTCAACTATTAACCTTTAGACTGACAGGTTTTACAGCACTGGTTGAGCTTCCTTTAATTCTTAGTGAAAGAAGTTTTAAATACAAGTTTAAGAATTTAAAAAAATGGTATAAATAAGAAAGAGTAACTAAAATTTTGATTTGGGAAAGTTACAAACAGACTAAGAGTCCAGATGGATTTGAAATAAGATTTTGGAAATAATTATAAAAAATACTTTCCATGGAACAATGCTTTCATTTTGATTTTTTTAAATGATATGAGACTTTGAAGGCCAAACCTTGGAGAGAATTGAAGAAACAAAACATTACAATTAAAGGAGAGTGCTTAAAATTTGCTTACTAATACAGAATGAAGCAAAATATTTTAACAATGCAAGAGCTGAGGTGATGCAGTGCTTAGAGTGTAGTACTACAGGCTACTTCAGCTGACTGCTAGCTGCATTTCGGCAGTTCAAATCTCACTGTCTCAAGGTTGACTGAGCCTTCCATCCTTCCGAGGTCGGTAAAATGAGGACCCAGATTGTTGGGGGCAATATGCTAACTCTGTAAACCACTTAGAGAGGGCTGTAAAACACTATGAAGCTGTATATAAGTCTAACAAGTGCTATTGCTATGGAAATATTGAAGGATATTGTTGAATAATGGACCCAGAAGTTAAAATTTTAAGAATGATTGCCTATATAAATATACCATGTTCAAAAGATGCTATGGAAGAGTTTTAGTGGACCAGACTGAAAGTGATCTGAAAGTGGATTTTAAAAATGACAGGCTACAAGAATTGTGTGGCAAAAAAATGCTACACTGGACATACAAATGAAACCAGTTGATATCTTAGTAATTAAAAGGGATATACAAATAACGACAAAAGAGCAACATGGGTAACTTTCCTATATTGGATTTACGGAAGAGGCTTGTTTGAAAAATTCTATGAGAAGGGATAAAGAAAAAAAAGAAATCAAGTTGTAGGAGATTATTTGAAGGGAATAAAGAACAAGATTGTTAAAAGTAAAAAAGGAATATAAAGTTGTTTATTTGATCAAGGTTAAAATAGATATATCATCTCTAGTAACCCTTGCTGTATTTTAAGAGGCAATAAGTTACTAAAATTGTTTGCACTTGTGATGGGGGAAGTTTATATATTTCTTTTCTTCTTTACTATATTCTTATTTTTCTTTCTTTCCTAAACTCCATACACAAGCAACCAATATACAAATGATTTAAAGATAGGATCTATGGAAAATCTGCAAACTTCCTCATTTTAAAATTAAGCATAAAGTTTTGCTTACACCCACATATCCTATTTTAGAATCTGTTTTGAATACACCGGAATTGATCTGTAACATATGAAAAGCTCACTATTATAATGAAATGAAATCATCCTTCTGAGAATATGAAGTGATTTTCTGTCATCCACCTGTAAGCAGCGAATCATGTACCAAGCCCCTTCTCTCATATCTCAAAGACTGCAAACATGACAATTTTCTTCCGCTTTTCAGAATTAAGATGTTCTAAATGAATCAATAATTACCCTCTTTATTTAAAGTTATAGCTCATTTCAAAAGGTATTTAATATCAAAGTGAACACAGGGCTACTTCACAACATGTACCACTGCATTCTTCTTATGCATCTACATGAAAGATTTAAGGAGAGAGAGTAATAGAGATATTTCAGTTTGGAAATCTACCCTCATCACGTTTTCAAGCTCTTATGAAGCCACAGTTGAAAAATCATATCTGAGGAGAGCCCATTATTCTATGGAAGAATGCCTTCTATGTAGAAAATCTCAGATTCAGTCCTGCTCTTTTTTATGCTGCTTATTTAATTCAATTCAAAGTGGAAGCAATACAAATAGACAAAAGGTTGTTTCTATCCATCTTATATACAGATGTGAATTTCTATGAAGACTGACTATGTAGCTATTAAAAATATCTACTTGGAGAAAATACATGCAGGTATAATTTTACACATTCCATCCCAGGAAGAGCTGAGTTTAAAGCCCACATTAATTGTTCTTGGTGCCTATCTTGATAGAAAAATAAGCACTTGATACACGCACACACTTAAAAACAGCATAGAAAATATATATATACTATTTAGTGGATAGTACCACTTTGAAGTAATATATTGTGAACTTACATAGTTAGTATCCTATATGCAAGCACTTACTTTGTTGTAGTACTTGGGAGTGCTAATACAATTCTTTATAAATATAAGGAAAGATAATTTTATGGGAGGGAAGGGAAATCGCTGAATTCTTCCAAAAATAATAGAATGAAATTTTGAGACAAATGAAGAGCTTGTCACATGGGAAAAAAATAATCAAATGTACAAAAGGTGAGTCAGACAAACTAGAACAGATGCAGAGAAAAGCAGCAAAGATTACCCATCTTATAAGAAACAGGCAAATCTATCTTAGAGAAAAATACAACAGAGGGTGACTATGATCCTATTTTTCAAATATAAAATGAATCAATAATACAGATAAAGAAAGCCTTGTACTCATTGTGCTGCAGCCAATGAACAGGAAATGGAATAATGCTCTTTAAATACAGAAAGATAGATTCCACTTGAATCTTAAAAAGTTCCTAAGGTAGTAGTAGCTTGTCTACAAGGTAGTTGGTTACCATTCCTTTGCAGAAACTGGACAATCTTCTGTTAATGATTCTTTAATTTTGAGTAGTTGCCTCCACATGGGGGAAGAGGGGGACTATCTTAAATAGCTACTAATTCTAGAGCAAATTATTATACAATACCTAAACCATCTTAAACACAGCAACATTAGCTTTAAAAAAAAAAAAGCACAAAGCCACCCTGGATAATGTTGCAATTTTTCTGCCATGAAGATGCACAAGAGCATCTTGCGCCCACCCTGGCTTACAATCCTAGCACTGGAATCATTTAGATTTGCTTGAATTAAAAAAAAATCTTTGAAAGACACAACTTTATTTTTAGGAAACATATATACATATTAACATAGTAAGACAGGTACACTCTTTTAAAAAAAGCATTCCCTCCTATATAACAGCGAAAGAAAGCAACCGCCACCTTTTTTTTAAAGAAAAACATTGTCATATGCACCCCATCCTATATGTATACTTTTTACATAAAGAACCCACACTTTAAAAAGCTAGTGTGTAAAAAGTGCTGTTTACAAAAAATAAAAAACAGGGCTTCTCTTCTGAGAGAAAAAAAATGTTCAAGACTGAATTCTTATATCTTAATCTATAGCATAAACATAACATTGCTTTTATGTTTAAGAGTAAAGTGTAATCATTTTGAAAGATAAAAATTGTATTGTAACATACAGTAGTGGCCAAAACTGTGGAAACTTTTTTGGGGGGAAAGTGTATTTTTGAGGTTTGATGGCTAATAACACTACTTTTTTGGAGTAGTACCATAAAATTATATATCAATGGAAAGATAATTTAATCAAAAATGTAATGCAATGAAGTTTGTTCAATTATCTGTATTCTATGGAAAGTTATGGGTCAGAAGCAACCAAGCAATAAAACTCAGTTAATAAAAGCAATCATTCAATCTTGGTTTCACATTATTAACAGCTGCAGAACTAAAAGACTTGCTTCACTCCATGGGAAGACTTGCTAAAGGTTACCCAACTATGTATTAACTGACATGGCGATAATTTTTGTATATCTCATTTTTTTCTATATTTTTCACTTTTCTTCTTTATAACTGCTATTCTAATAGCAAATCCTTCATACAAGTCATTGCCCTACATTCTTCATTAATTTATATTTCCATTGATATATAATTTTATGGCACTACTCGAAAAAAAAGGGGTATTAGCCATCAAACCTCAAAAATACACTTCCCCCAAAAAAAGGTTTCCTCAATTTTGGCCACTACTGTATAAAAACCCACAAGTCCGCCTTAATAGAAGCAAAGCACGTCGGTCCAATTTACTACTGCCTTGCGATTTTGACTTTTATGCTAATAGGCTTGAACAATGGAAGGCACGGTTTTTCAAGGCTCCTCCCACTTATTTTAAGGAACGGCAACTAGAAAGTGGTGGCAGGAGACGAAGACAAGGAAAAAGGAAGCGAGACCTACGTTTTCCCGTATTCGAGAAAACGAAAGCGGGGGAAGTGGGCCCAGTGGAACCGGAGTTCTCCTGAGCATGTCCAAAGCTCGCGCTGAGAACTCGTTGGAACTTTAGAGGGTGTGGCCTGATATGCCCTCAATAGGGCGAGGTTTGTCCTGGCTCCTCCCCTCGCTTTAAAGACTGACAGCAATTAGGGAAAGGCGTCCGGCCTGGGCCTTCGCTTTCTGCACCGCAAAACGAAGCGAGGCCCGGAGACGTGAGGGCCCCACCCACGAAGCCCGCCGCCGCCAACGCAGCATGAGGGGACAAGAGGGGACAAGAGGGCGGCCGGTTGAGCGAGCGCGAAAGGGGTCTCCTCACCTGCGCTCCTCCTCCTTCTCTTGACGGCGTTGCTCCCACCTCAGGCGCCTCGTGCAGCTCCCGCCCACCCGCCTAGCCAGCCACTCCTTCACAGTGCCCGCTGTCAGCCAATCAATGCCCTTCACCGAGATCCAATCCATAAACTGAGATCGCGCCTCCTGGAGGAGACGAGTCTACCCTTCTGTTGCTCGGATTGGCCAGCGCTCCCGTCAATCGTTCTGCCCTAACGTGACAAAGGAGGAAGAAAAAGGAGTGGGAGGGAAAGGGGCAGGCCACGATGGCCAATGAGAAATCACAGCGCGTCCTTCACGCCAGCCAGTCAGGAGGAGAGAGAAAAAAGAGGCGCCCACGGCCATTTTCACCTCACTGCTGTCAAAAGAAGGGAGGGAAATGAAATATTCCAGTTGATTGGCTGCGACCAGAGGCACGTCTGAGTGCTGCACCAGTTAGGATATTTCCAGATCAATGTCTGTCTCTCGGCGTTAATCCCACCGCCTATGTTCAATCACATCGCCCCGTCCCTACTACGCCTCCATTTTAGCCCAATCAAAAGACAGGGCGGGACTTTGGGCTTGTGTGGGCCAATTACTGCAGACTATTCCTTTGGTATGCCTTGAAAGGAAAGGGGTTGGTGCGCGAGTGAATGAGTGAGTGTGTGTTAGCGTTAGGCGTTTCATGTATCGGCCTCCGAGTGCTTGTATTTTAATAAAATTTATACCTCTTGTCAGATCAGATTGTGTAAAGTAATGATTATACTCTTTGAAGCATGTAAGTGGCATTAATTAAAATTTAACAGTGATTGCCCTGATAATTGGCTGATAATGAGGCAAAGCTTCGGTCGGATGCAGATAGAAAGCACCCCTTCCTCCTGGTAAAGCAGCCTCGGCTCTCTGCTGGGAAGGACGGGAGAAGGAGGGCCGATGCTGAGATTACGAGCCTAAATTACGGGCAGTCACAATCTTCGGAGTGAAGAGATGTGGATGTATTCTTGAGTCTCAGGAAGAATACACACTACTTTAAAAAAAAAAAAACACCCACATTTTTGAACAAAATCTTGTCTTGAAGACAAAAAATTTTAAAAATTGAAAGTGCAAATTAAAAATGCAAACTCGGAAAAAATCTTATATTTTACACTCATCTATAGTCATTGGTTTACCATTGATATGTAATTGAACATAACATTAAACAATTTCTCCATACATATAGATTGATGTGCCATCCCAAAACATGATGAATCATCATATTATCTCATCAGATATCTCAATTTTTAAAATAGCTTCAGCATAAAAAAGGTGTCCAGACTTTCAAATACATATTTTGAGGAAGTGTAAAACACACTAAATACAATTTTGGATAAATGAAATCTATTAACATTTTAAGGACATGATACATGAGTACAATCATCATCTTCCATTTGTAACCTGATATTTTACTCTTAATAATTTGGGGTTTTGTTGATATTTTAATTTTCTGTATAATCTGTTCAGATAAATATAATAAACCAGAAATGTAATAAAATAAACTGCTCTTATGATTACTCATTGCTCCATCACAGTTTAACTGTTCCTTCAGTTCCTCTTCTGTTATAAGAAAAGATAGACTAGCTATTGACTAACCAATCTACATAATGTAGGGGCCTGCATAAGTGCACCACCGTACCTAATGTTCCTGTCCTAATGTTCCCATTTGTACCCACTTCCTGTGTTTTTGTTCATGTTTATTAAACCCCTGTTCCCGCCGGAACAGAGGACCTTCATGGAAACCATTGTCAGGGGGGGGGGGGAATATCTAACAAACTAAATTAAAAACATAAAAATGTTTTAATTAAAAGCATGAAAAGATGTCTGTCTTAGAAGAATCTCCAGTTCTTTACTGCTCTTGTACTAATTTAAATTGTGTATTTGGTTTCCTTTACAGTAGAAGCTACATTGGAAACACTTTGGTAATCTGAAGGATGGGGTAGAAATGTTCTAAATTAAACATTTTTGTATAAATCCAGTTTTATTTCCTTCCCATTAATTTATACATCTGTGTAAAATATGCCTAAAAGAAATCATCAATAGAATATTCTGTAAAATATTTAATCACATTGTAATATTCATTTTGCCCCCATTAATTTTGCCCCCAAAAACTTAATGGCAGTTTTAACCCATCTATTGCATCTATACATTTGATTTCATTATGTGCCATCATGTTAGCGTTGATTTTTAGCATTTTTCCCTCCAAACCCAATTTGCTCTTTCATCTCTTCTAACAGCATGCTCATTGCTGCTGTATAATGCATTCAACTTGCTCTTTTCTTTCTTTCCTCTTTCTCTTTCCTAGCATTAGCACTAGATCTTTGCATACTAATGGTATATCCAAAATAGGGTAATAGACTCTTCCCAGGAATATTCCCTCCCCCACCCCCGCCACATTGAGGCAACATATCAGGACTGTAGACTTAATTATTTCAGTGTAGTGTGATATATCAAGATATGAGCTTATGGGTAAATGGCTACTTGCTTTCTGATGCCATATTTCTCTACTACATCTATCCAGTGTCTTCGGAGGTGAAGGTATCTGCTCTGTACTGTCCTCCAAAGTAGCTCACAAGCACAAGGGGTTGGCTGTAACTTCTCTACATGTAACCAACTGATCTGGCGTCTGATTGATCTGTGGGAAGTTATCATCCAGCCCCCTCCCAGAAAAATGAAATATCCTAGGAAATATTGAAAAGGCAGAATATTTCTCTGGATGTGAAAAGAAACATGTTTTAAAAGACAGAATAGTTGCCTATAGCAGTGTTTTCCAACCACTGTGCCGCGGCACACTAGTGTGCCG